GTATGGTTCTTAGAGCATGTAGGTCAACTGCATGTGCATGTGGCTGACATCACCCCTGGCATTAAGTGTGCGGCACAGAAGCAGGGTGCAGTGGTGCACACCTATAATCCCAGCTGCTTAGGAAGCTGAGGGAGGAGGATCAGGAGTTCAAGGCCAGCCTCAGCAATTTAGTGAGATCCCAGTTCAAAAAGAAAGAAGAAAAGATAGAGTGCTGAGCCTGGTGTGGTTGTTCCTGACAGAAACACCTGTCTATGAATAGTTTCTTCAAGAACGTGTGCTCTTGGTGCCTTGTGAGTACTTGAAGGCTTCCAGCAGAAAAAGGCCTGGGTTAAACTAAAGCAAGCCTTATTACAATGTATTTGAAATTTAGCTTTCCAGGCAAGTGGGGTGGGACGATGAGTGCTCCTGGGCCTGTTCAGAATGGAACGCTGTTGATCTGTAAGTGGCGTCTGGAGTGTGTTTGCACCTCGCCCAGCAAACACGGCTATTCAATGATTGTGCGGTGCTGGCTCCTGCAGGGGCCCTACAAAGCTTAGCCCTAAGAAGAAGAACCTTGTTAATAATATGCATTGAATTCGCACCGTTTCTGCTGTTCGGTGCTCAGGGAGCTTTTCTGAACCTTCTTCTTTTATTTACATGTTAAAGCCTGGTCTTGCTGGAGCCCCCTCCTGCCCCCCAGGGCCGGGCTCTGCTCTACCCTGTTGCTCCAGGTGTTTCCAGTCCCAACATGGTGCGTCACGGGGCTTGGCCGCCATCACATTACTCCCCCTGCCCATCGTCCCTACGATTGTGCCCACCTTCCAGTACAGGTCAGTGAGGGGTGGCTGTCACCTGTTTCCTCTCTCCACACCCCACAGTGTCACATTAGAGGTGGGTTGCCCACGACAGTCCATGCTGCCCATCTGGGCTCCTGGTTTGGAGCCATGAAGAATGACAAAATTCAAATCACATCGGAACCCAGCCCAGAGCTGATGGAGCTGGCCATAGATGACCGTTGCTCCAGGACTATTTCCTAAGCATCCCTTGGTCGCTCTGCATATGCCCCCTCCTTCCTAGCCAGCCTATGACATAGGTCCCAGGTCCCCACGGTACAGGTGAGGAGCAGAACTCAGAAGTTACACAGCCTCTGTCCAGTCACACAGGTGACTGGAGGCAGAGCGAGAGATGGGTGTCGGAGCCTGTGTGGGTGGAGTCCTGTCTACTTGCATGGAACCAGCAGCAGGCCAAAGTGATCACTGAAAAAAATTCAAAACGAAGTTTCCAGGAGGAAGAGCAAGAAGAGCCCAACTCCAAGGACAAATAGAGTCCCAGGAGGAAAGAAAGCAGGGCTTTTCCCGTGCAGTTAGCCACGTGGCTGGTGGGGTTGGGAGTCACTAGGGAAGGCCATCTGGGCTTTTAGAAAAGGAAATCCTGTGCATGTGTCCTGCCCTGCATTAGCTCAGGGTTGTCACAGAATTTTCAATTTTTCTAAAAAAGTGAATTTTAATTAAAAAAATCTAAAACTCATAGCCAGAGAGTAATTGTTAAGTTGAAATACTTGGAGCCTGGACGGCAGGACAGACAAGGTGCTCACAGCACCTTGAAGAAGAGGAGTGTCAAAGCTGAGTGTGGAGGGGACTTGATGTCACAATTCCACCAAATGGGGAGCACCTCTAGGAGGAGTGAGGAGGAGAGGAGGAGAGGAGGCTGCCCATCAGTGACCGGTGCCTACAGGGGCTCTCCATATGGGCTGTGGACTGTCCCAGGGAGACCCCAGACGGACTCCATGTGACTAGAGTTGGGGGCAGAATCCCCAAGGCTAGCCAGTCCCCACTGATTTCTATACCTGCCGGGTTTGAATATGTCCTCAATCCTCCAGCCCCATCCTGCCTGTGCCCCACCTCTTAGTCAGCCCAAGGGACTCTGGGAGGATGAAGTCATTTCCTCATGCTCCTTTTGCTCCTCCCTAAGAATACTGCACCCCCCAAAAGCAACTCTCCTGGGCCCTTTGGGCCTGAAGGGCTACTGGAAGCAGAGGGCAGGGACAAAGAACAGGAGAAGTTCATGCCCTTGGTGCCCTTTGGTCAGCCCCTCCCCAGGTCCCCTCTCTCATCCCTGGCAACCACTCTGCTTCCTGAGGTTGACTATTTCAGATTCCACATAGAAGTGAGATTGTGCCGCATTTGTGCCTGTCTGGCTTGTGTCACTTAGTATAATATCTTCCAGGTTTATCCATGCTGTCAAAAATGGCAGGATCACCTTCCTTTTTTTATTTTATTTTTTCTTAGATCTTTATTTTATTTATAATGGTGCTGAGAATTGAACCCAGAGCCTTACATATGCCAGGCAAGTGTGCTACCACTGAGCCCTAGCCCCAGCCCAGGATCTCCCTCTCTCTCTCTCTCTC